AATTACAAGCATTTAGAGCTGTGAAGTTTCCTCTTGGTGCTTTTACTTGTATTCTATAGACTTTGATATAATTTTCCCTCTCACTCAGTACTGTGGATTGAATCTAGAACTTGTGCATGCTAGGAAAACACTCTGGCACTGAGCTACATCCCAGCCCTTGTAACTTTATTTTTAAATTATGATGATGATGATGATGATGATGATGATGATGATGATGATGATGATGACAGAGTTCCCTGGTGTAGCCCAGGCTGGCCTTAAACTTGTGATCCTTCTGACTCCATTTCCTGAGTACTGGGTTTACAGGTATGTGTCACCATGCTTAGCAGTTCAAAGTGTCTTAAGATTTTTATTGTGGGATATTTTTTGACTCATGGATATTGGTATGATTCTTTAGAAGCATGTTGTTTAATCTCCAAATATTTGAGAATTTTAAAATTAAATTTGGTTGTGGTAATATAACACTTTATGTAAGATTTTTTTCATTCCTTTAAACATATCAAGACTTGTTTTATGATGAAGCATATTGTCTATCTTGGTGAATATTTCATGTACCCTTAAAAATAAAATTATATTCTGTAACTTCTCTGATGAATGGTGGATAAGTGTCCACCAAGGTGAGGCAGCTGCCAGTGATGCTCAAGCCTCTACTACCTGAGTTGTTTGGCTTTTGTCCTACCTTAAGTTTCAACTGTGAGTTTCCTTCTCTTCTCAGTTCTGTTCAGTATTGCTTCATGTATTAAACTCAGCAGGCATTTTGTTTATGACAGTTAGGGCACGTTTATGATTGTTACACCTTCCTGATTAATTGGTCTTTATATCATAATAAAGTATCCTTCTTTATTCTGGTAAAACTTGTTGTCCTAGGTCTAGTCTATTTGATAATTAATATATCAACTCCATCTTTATTACTAATGTTTTAAAATTTTTATTTTAAAATGTTTTTATACAGTATATTTTGATCATGTTTTCTTTTCCTCCAACTCCTCCAAGCTCCTCCCCATTTTCCTATCTACCCAAATTCATGTTCTTTCTCTGTCTCAAAGAAAAAACAACCAAAAAAAATTGAAAATCAAAAAAGCTTTAAAAAATCAGTAAGACAAAAAAGTCAAAACAAAAATGATTAGTGTTTATAGCTTTATTTTATTACTTTAATAGAAATGTTTATTTTTCTGTATTTTCTCCCCCCCTTTTTTTGGTGCTGTTGTTTTTTAGACAGGGTCTTATATAGCCCAGGCTGCCTTGAACTCATTGTGTAGCAAAGGATGAATTTGAAGTTATGATCTTTCAGCCTCTGTCTCCCAGAGTATTGGGGTTCCCAGCATGCACCTCCATGCCAGGATCCCTGTTTCTTTTTGTTATAAAAAAATAGTGGGAAGAATGCCATTTATTTATTTATTTATTTATTCCTAGAGGACTATTACATTTTATTGTTATGGTAATATATATATATATATATAGCATCAAGTTTGCTATTTTAACATTTTATATACACAGCTTAATAGTGTTAAGTACATTTACAATGAATATTGTTCTGTAACAATAAAATCATATGCATAAGAACAGGCGTGAGCCTGGATTTGGCCCACAAGAGGTGGTTTGCTGCTCCAGAGTTTGTCATACTATATTTTCAAATAATATACCAGAGCTTTTAATGGGAAGAAGCCTCTACAGCCATGTTGTCCTTGTTCTCCTTCCTGCCCTTTGTGTCATTGTTACTATACACTTTGCTTCTACATAATTTATGGCCCTTACTGTATAATGTTTCTCATTTTGCTTTAAAAATTACTTTAAGTGCTGGATGGTTGTGGCGAACGCCTTTAATCATAGCAGAGGCAGGTGGATCTCTATGAATTCAGGGCCAGCCTGGTCTATAGAGTGAGTTCCAGGACAGGCTCCAAAGCTACATTTCAAAAAAATGAAACAAGACAAAAAATTACTTAAGTAATGACCTGGCAAAGAAATAACAATTAGATAAAGTGCCCTCCATACATTCCCATGCTGGACCATTCCTGTCATTCTTCATTCCCACAGGGATAGCTTGGGTAACTGTAGAAAATTTTCCCTGAAAGAACAGTTTTCAGTATAGTCCTTTGTCTGGGTGATCTTATCTCATATTTAATATACTCATCTAATAATTTACTTTCAAAAGGCAAGTTCAAGTTATTTTAGCATGGCCAGAAATGACAGCAAATGTTCTAGAAATGTATATTACTTGAAAGCACTTTGTAGTTAGTTCTACCCAAATGAGAATTCTTGTTTTGTTGTGCTTAATCTTTTCATAAAACTGGTATAACTAACGTGTGCTTGTTCATAGATTCCTTAATTCTTTTGTCTGTAACTTATTTGGTGAGCATTCACTTGCTGTAGTCTATGTGCTACACACTGTAGAAAATGATGAAAACATGCAGAGAGATACATACAGGTGTTTGTAGGAACTTGTGCTATTGAAGGAGGAACAGGGACATGCATAATTATAACTCACTGAGAACAGCTCCTGAGAAGAAGGAGAGATCAACAGAAAGGGCTGCTCAGAGTAGATCTCACACCTTGGAAGAGTTTTGTGAGCTGTCGACAATAAGAACATTCCAGGCAAAGATAGTACATCAAGTAGGTGAAATAGTATGGTCAGAAATCAGAAGCATAAAACTTTATTCTTTGTGGACCTAGTAGTTTAGTGTGGTTCCAGAGGATTCTGGGAATACAGTCAGTGACAGGAAAGCTTGAGAAGATAGGCAGACAGCACAGTAAAGAGAGGAGGACCAGCCATCCATAGGAGTTTGCTTTTTACTATTTTGGCTTTTTAAACAGAAGAGTAAAATGGTCAGATTTACTTCTTTTCATATTTACTTTTTTGAAAGATCATTGTGAGATGCATGAAGCTCTGAGTTCAGCTCCCAGCTCTACATAAAATTGGGCATGGGCTGCAAACCTGTAATCCAACTTAGGATATGGAGGCAGGAAGATCAAAAGTTCAAGGTCAACAAAATCCTACAAACTGAATTCAAGTGTACGGCCCCATGCCTGGCTTTTTGCCAGTATTAATATGTATTTTATTTTAATGTGTTTGTCAGTTAGGTTTTTCCCCTGGGTTTTAGTTTATGTTTTCACTTGCAATTAAACATTTTCAGCTATCTTTCACATCTCTAAATTTACAAACCTTCAGCCAAATTAACCAAAAGAAATGATCCAAATTAATAAAACAAGATATGAAAATGGAGACAACAGATACCAAGGAAATTCAGAGATCTGTAAGAACGTACTTTAAAAATCTATATTTTGCCAAACTGGAAACTCTAAAAGAAGGGTTAATTTCTAGTTTTTAAGGCTAAAGTCAAAACAAGATGAACTTAATCTCCAAGCTAAAAAAACTCCAGGGCCAGCTGGATTTAGTGCAGAATTCTACAAAACCTTCAAAAAGAACTAATGCCAATGCTTTTTTATTCTGCAAAATAGGAACCAAAGGAATGTTTCCAAATTCTTGTTACAGAGTCAGTATTGCCCTGATACCCAAATCAGACAAAGATCCAATAAAAAAGAAAATTATAGGCTAATCTCTGATGGACATAGATGTACAAAATTCTCAACAAAATACCTACAAAACTGAATTCAAGGATACACAAAAATGATTATATACCATGATCAAATCGGTTTCATCCTAGAGATGCAGGGATGGTTCAACATATATAAATCAGTAAACATAATCCAACACATAAACAGACTAAAAGACAGAAACCATGTGGTCATCTCATCAAATGTAGAAAGGCCTTTGACAAAATCTAGCATCCATTCATGATAAAAGTTCTAAATCTGTCTCTAAGGCTTTCATTTCTATGTTGAGCCACATTTGCAGCAAAGCAACTCATGTTCTTTTTCTTTGTTACTTCTATTCATTCTTAAGCACAAATCAATCTGGTTTTGTCACCCCAGCCCATCCATCAATCACTACATCCACTGGACACTATGCCAGCAGACACTGTATCCAACATATACTTTTCAGTCTCTTTTAAATGCTTCAGATTTTCCCCCTTCAATTACCCAACTCCCTTTTCTCTACTGTATTTCACTGCTTTGTTCTTTCCCTTTTCCCTCCTAGGCTGCCCCTTAAAATGGAAAAAAAAAAAAAAAAAAAAAAAAAAAAAAAAAAAAAAAAAAAGCTCTTATTACCAGTAACTGAAGACAGTGTGCTGTAAAGGTTTTGTATATATGATTTACTCTTGACAGCATTTTCATGCCATGGATGAGAAAGCAGGCACACTGGAGTGTGAGCTGGGTTTAGTTAACTAATTTAGAATGAAAAGTGAAGGATATCTCTAAAAGTATGCATTCATCTCCCTCTGAAGCCCTTCCCTGCTCTCCTCATCCTCACCTCATCTGTGACTCCTCATCATACTTCAAAGCAGGGTTGTGGGATTCTATATGCATTCATAGTGATGTACATTCCCTACATTTTAGTAAGGTTGTCTTATTTCTTTTTTAGTATGCATACCAAATTTTGAGAGTAGGGACTGTGTTTTGTTCATTATTGAATTCCAAAGCTTAGTGCAGTTGCATCATGGGTCATGTGATCATTATTTTATGTGAGAAAATGGATTTTTTTTTTTGGAGACAGGGTCCACACTGTAGTCTAGGCTGGCTCCAAATTCCTGATGATCCTGTTGCTCAGCCTCCTGAGTGCTGGAAGTGTAGGTATGTCCCACCACTCCCAGTTTGTTTGCTGTCTAGTAGGTATATAAAATGCTACTTGAACAATTTGCCTAACTCAAGTTAATCCTACCCCTAATTTGCCTGCCTGTGTGGTATGATAATGTGATAGACATGTTTGAAAGCATTTTGAGCTCTCCAGATTGTTTAAATGTAAGACTGTATACAAGGAACTTCATAAGTTATTTGATTTTCAAATAGAAATTGCTGAATAGTTGAACTAAAATCCACTTTTATCAACAAAATTTGCTCAAATATTTAGCACATTTAAACAACCTTTTTCTATTTTATACTAGAATATTCCAGAACTAAATAATGAAAATAGTGATGAACTATCCAGTAAAAAATCAGAAAACACCAGTACACAAAAATACAATTCTGGTCAAGAAATATGGGGGAAAAATGCAAAGAATTTTTGTTCAGATACTGATTACTACAGAGAAAAAGAAAAAATGAAAGACCTACCTGTAGAAGAAATTGCAGAAGGTAATCTTAAAAGTACATTGATAAAGCCCCATGGTGGGCCTTCCCTGTCAGTTACAGCTTTGCTTTAGGGCCGTCCAGTACATTTGGGAAACACCTCTTCATGTGTGTGTAAATAAGCATTCTGCAAGTGAATCTTTAACAGAGTCTGCAAAGAGCATCTTCTGTGTCACTGGCATACTTCTGGTGAGCAGCAGGTCATCTTGCTTTAGATGCCCACAGTAGCACTGAGATGATTTCTAGTTTCTCCACTATGAAGAACTGCTTAAAGTAGCACTGACTGAGGTGTTCAAGTAAGGGTGAATAGCCACTTGGTGGAGATGTTGGAGAAAGAATGATTGAACCAACACAGCCCTTTAAGATCTGGAGTTTATGTTCTAAGTTATTTTAACTATATTTATTACATGATATCTATAGTTACAGCAAAGATGAATAAGATTTTCTTGGGTAAGTAGATATTCTGTGAATTGAACCAAAACTATTCCAGAATTTTAAAATACAGGGTAGTAAACAAAAAAATGATGATTGTCAAACATAGAAAAGCTAACTATCAATTTCTGAATGTTGTTAGACCTGGGTTGTAATGGAGGTTACTATATACATTAATTTTTATCAGTTATGTGTTCATATAGGATTGTATTTTGTGCCCCCAAGGAAACTATAGGAAAAATAAAGACCATTGTATAAATATTTCATGCTGCTTGCCCCACTGGGTAATACCTCATGCTGCTTGCCCCTTTTAAACCAAAGTGATTTTGCTATTGTGAACTACAAAGTTTCAGGGCAGAGCCAAGAATTTAGCATCCATATACTTGCTTTAGTATAGGAACTCAAAATTTGAATAAAATTAATGTCATGTTTGTATGATTAATGTCCAATAGACTATTAAAGGCTAAATATGTTTTCACAAAATGTGGTGACACGTTATAAACAAACTTTACTGAGTTTTATTGTGTCCTCTTTATGACAGATTTACAGCCTTTTGAAACAAGTGCCAAAAACGAAATTAATACTATGGTATTTCAGGACAGACACCAAAGTGGAATGTCCCCAAGCAAAGCCCTTTGCCTAGATAAAGATGTACGTGATCAAGAACAAGCCCTGAATGTTACTGACTGTAGAAAATCAGTCACTGTAGAAGTAAAAGACAGGGTGTGCTTGGAAAAAGACAATGGATGTTCAGAACTGAAGTCACTGAACAATTTCTTTTTAGTGGTAGATGAATCACTAGAAACAGAGAAAATATGCCTAGAAGGAATAGAAGGATTAGGTGTTCTCCACAGTAGTGTAGATGTATCTCTGGAGACTCGAAGTAACAAAGCACCCTTTAATGGCATTTCAAATGAGATGGCCCACAAAAGAAACACAGATGCGTCTGAAAGCAAGCCATTCAAAGAGCAATTCAAATTGCTCCCAGCAGATCTGGAAAATGCTACAGAGAATGAAATTACAAATCATGACAAAACCAAAGCAGGATTAGATTCATTTTTAGATATAAAACTAAATCTTAATCAGTGTAAGAAACATGGCTTACATGATTCTAGTAATGCTGTGTTAGATGATAAGTACCAAAAAATTAAACAAACCTCACGTGAAGAGAGTGAGTGCAGCATAGTACATTTTTCATGTAAAGCTGCCCAGATGCCTGAAGCAACTGTTGTCTCTGCTACGGTGATCAGCCCACCCTGTCCATCTGTCATCTCTGATAATTTGAAAGTACTTAACAATTCAGAAAACAGTATTAATACTATGCCAACATTGGGGAAACCCACCTCAAGTCCTGCAGAAACAACTATAAGGAAAAATATGAATAACATACAAAACAGTCCTTTTATGAACCATTTGGGATCTTCAGAAAGCAGTGTGAACATCTCAGATTTTCAGGTTAACCAAGGGGACAGTCATGCTTCACAAGCCAATGATTTTAAATCTGTAGTTCCCATGACAGAAAAACAGCTTTCCAGTGAGAATCAGATAACCAAAGCTACAAAAAGTGGTCTCTTTTCTTCGGTGGATGTTAAGGTAAGACAGTGCATGTTGCTAAATGATAGAGAGAAAGTAGAGACATTAAATGACACCCTGTCAGAAGGAACATTCAGTGAAGGTCAGTTGGAAGAACCACGTTTGTCTCATTTAACACCATCTGCAGACTCAGTAAACACAAGTGCAAGGTCGGCCTTTGATCTTCCCACTCCAGATAAGAAACTCAAGAAAACTCCAGGATACATGAAGTTTGTAGCAGCTAGTCCTTGGTCAAAAATAAATCAAATTAAAACAGTGGGCACTTCACCTTCCAGCTTTCCTTTATTGCTGAAGGAGAGACCAGTAGGTCCAGAAAGCAAAGTGATTACTCAAGTGACTTTTTGTAAAAAAGTTGGTCTGGATGACACTAGGAAACATATTGAGCCAGGTAAGAAAACATGGCCATGCTTGAATTCTTTTTTTTTTTTTTTCTATTACTTAACTGTTCTGGACAAAGAATCTCCAGATTTGTTTAAAGTGAAAAAGAATATACATGTGTTTATATATATAAGTTCACCTACGCATAATACAGTGCATACATAAATGGAATGGCTTTCTTTAGATGAGTTATTTTTAACCTAATCTAAGTAGTAGTATCAGAATATCATCAATCACATTTGGAAGTGTTTTTCATTGTCAAAGTATGACACCACCAACAGGTCTAGATCACTGAGTTTAAATTAGGAATAACAACCTAGTGAATCTGTCTCTGTCTCTTTCTCTCTCTCTCTCTCTCTGAGTAAATTGGTCTTTTCTCTTTCCCTATTTTTCCTTTTATACCTGTTCCTTCACCAGCATTACAAACCCAACTTGTTCCTCATTTTATTGGCAAAAGTAGAACAAATGAATTCTTTTCACATCATTAGGTTTTGTTGTTATTGCTTGAAGCACTTTAACCCTTTAATAAATATGTACCTGTTATATTTACGTTAGAGATTAGAGGGTCCATTTTCTTAAAGTAGTACATGAATGACAGAATAACTTTTAAAAATAACTCCAGGAAATACAGGATTTGGTAGAGAAATGTAGATGTTTGGGAGTAATACATTGAGGTTCATATTCCCTGCTTTTAATTTTTACTATAGATATTTTAAAATGTACTACATATTGGGCTGTGGAAGTAGCTTATAAAGGCACTTGCCATGTGAAAGAACCCAGTGTTTGATATTCAACACCAAAATGCTGGTGGGTGTGGCAGCCCACTTAAATTACAGCACAGTCCCAGGATCCTTGGAGGCAGCTAGCTAGCCAGATTAGCTGAAAAGGGCCAGTTTTGTGTTCAAATGAGCACTCCCTACCTCTGTATACAAGATGGAGTGAATGAGGAAGTCAACTGATGTTGGCCTCTGCCACACACATGTACACATACGCAAACATGCATATATGAACATACCATACATGTAAAAAAACTCCGTATGAATAGCTATGTTAAATATATCAAAGCAGTAGTTTGTGATGGATATGAAGAAAGTATGTTTATTCTGCTAATAGTAATCTCATAGTCAACGTTATTGAGGTTGAAGGCATTCTTAAGATTTCTTGGACAGTCTAACTGGCACTGAACCTACTGGCATCTACCAGCTTTGGCCTCTCTAGTCCTGGAGTCTGAGTACTCAGATTACAGATGTGTGTCACCATGCCTTGCTAACTAGACTTTAAGGGAACTTTATGGATTTAACACATTGAAGAAATGTAGGTTACAAGAAATGCTTTGTATAGTCCACAGATTTAATAGGCTTCATTCAAAAAGAAAATTGAGAAAAATTTAAAAAGAACAATAGGGGCTCAGAAACAAAGTAAATATACCTTGCTTACTAGCACCATCAATGTGTGTGTGTTTGTGGGGGGGGGGATCACCAAAATACTGTGTAGTCTTATTTCCCAAACTGCAATTTTACTGTTAAGCATAACTTTAGGGGCTGGTCTAACATTCACTATTTTCTCAGCACATTTCAGTGGCATAAGAGATATCTAAAATTCAAAAACTGAAATTATATTCTTACTAAGCATGTCTTTTAAGACTTACCAGCTCTGAACAGCCCTTTGTGGCATTTTCTGGTAACTAGGAGATGAGAACATTTTGTATGTGTGTGTTTAAGAAGGTGTTTATACCTTTCTTAATGATTTAGCAAACAGCAATAATACAATCTTGTTTTCTGAAATGAAATGCCCAAGAGGAAAGTCTAGGAAATGGTAATATCAAAACTGACATGGAAATTGCTGATTTTTTAAATATAAAAATGTAAGATCAGAAAGTTCAGTCATTAAGATATGTCCAGAGAATACAGTTCAGTTGTTGTCATTTCCTGTTTATCAATCAGATACTTCCAGCATTAGCAGAGTTGCTGACACTGTGGGTAACTGGAGTATCCATCCAGATCCCAAGGGACAGCCCAGTGAAGAGAGGAATGCAACTGCAAAGACGTTTTATGATTCTCCTTTTCCCACAGAACATGTAAGTCAATTAAAAATATTGCTGAGTAGACCTCAGTGAGCTAATTCTCCAGATATGTGTAGCACTGTATGCATCTGGATACTATAAGCCCTAACTGATCTTCAGAATAATATCAAGAGGGCAACATGGCACCATTTTTCACAATTAAGGCTGATAGAAAACAGCAGGAAAAAGTCACAGTGTATAAATCAAGCAGATACAATCCAGCCTGTTTAGGGGACTGAAGCATCATTTATATACTCCTCTCTGTCACCTCAGCTTAGAAATAGTTGATTTGAACATCCAAAATTTTTTTATTAATACGCTATCAGATTGATTACTTTGAATTATTTTGGAAGTGTATGAAAGGATAAAAATCTCCATAATGCAATGATAGGATATATGCATTAGACAGAGTATTTGTAGATATAATATGGCTTCTAGGAGCCCATTCAGTGTAAGAAGAGCAACTAACCAAAGCTGACAAGTTATTTGGTTAAATTTCTAAGTTTTATATCTTAGCGTATAGAACTTTACCCAAGTTTGTATTGTTCAAAGTCTTAACAAACAAATTCTGAACAGTGCTGGTGTAACTGATAAAAGATAAGCAATGGATACTCATGAGACTACCATAGAAACATATTCTGTGTATCTTTGAGCATTTACAGGCATTAAACAATTCTTTCACACTACAAAAGCTGCGTGCTAGCTCAGTTCAATGTTGTTTTTCTCAACTTTTCACAATAGAAAAAAGGTTTGATTTACTGGAGCATGTAAATCAAACTTCCTGTGTGAAGTGGTACAATGAGCATCATTATCCCTCTAAACTTATTAGTTATCACATAATATAGGGAAAAAATCAGAAGTAGATCTTCTAGAACAAATCACAACATTCATGCCTCCTTTAAGGGTAAGAAAAATGGTATTAGAGCAAGGCCACACTAACACCCTTACAGAGCCTGGAGATCATGACAGAACTAAGCTGGGAGGCAGTCTGGCCTGCAAAGTCAAAGTACTGACTGGTGCTTTACACAAAGTTCACCATCCTCTTATACATGAAGGGTGATGTTACAAGGATTAACAGTCAAAAAAGAGGAATTTAATTTTGTTTCCCTCATCAGTTCTGTAAATAAATTTAGGTGCCAATCCAATTTCCCCATGGCTTTAGAAGGTGCTTTTTATTCTTGTTCTGGAGTTAGGTGAAGAGTCTACTGCAATCTTAACTGTATTCAGAAGATGCCAAGGGCCCAGAATAAACAAAGCTATTGACTTTACATACCCAGTACCACAGTTCTTTCAACAAGTTACAGGAAATACAAGGTGGAAAGAGGAAGTGGGAAGTGGTGGATTCTAAAGACATAGGAACAAGGAAAACTGACAAATCTGAACAGCTGGAACTAAAATCATTGCAATGGGCTGCAGAGACCGTGTTGCTAAGTCAGACTAGATCCAATCTGTAGTCAGTCTCCCTTCACTATGGCCAGTCTCTGGTCCCACCCCTTTCATGTGAGAAGAGACTGTCAGTATCTGCCCTTTTCTGATCAAGAAAAAAAGTGACAGCAGGATTTTAGTAGATTCTAATCAAGTATTTTGGTGGCAAAATAAGTGAACTAAATCATGCAGATAAGTCTTTTACTTCACTTCAGGGTTAGAGTTAGATTTGTTCTATTCCCCTACCCTCCCTAGTGTCTTGTGTGTGTGTGTGTGGGGGGGGTCTTGAGCTAACTCAAGTACTCAAGTATGTTGAGCAGAAATTATCAGATGTATATACTTATATACACTTAAATTTCATACCAGATTTTAACTTCACAGTAATAGTGTCTAAATTCCTTAAGAAGCTAGTGGGAAAACCAAGGCCCAGAAAAGTTGAATAGGACTTGCTCAGATCCAAGGTCCCAAACTCAGAGGGGAGTAGAGGAAGACTACAGAATTTTACACAATATAGCAATTCTCCGGGGAACTTTGATTCGATTCTAAACACTGAACTCATTTAAAAATTGTTCTTTACTTTCCACTAGAATGAAATGTTACACACATGCCATGCTTACCAAAAATAGACTTTTAATGTTAGGCACCTCAAAGATCATTAACAAGAATCAATGAACAAAAGATAACAGAGCCCATATTCAATGACAAGTGGTCATTTCCTACAATTTAAGTGGTTTACTCTATACTAAATTATGGGGTATGGAACATGGTGCTTGTCTTTTTTTTTTTTTTCAAGACAGACAGGGTTTCTCTGTGTAGCCCTGGCTGTCCTGGTCTGTAGACCAGCCTGGCCTCAAACTCACTGATCAACCTGCCATTGACTCCTAATTGCAGGGATTAAAGGTGTGTGTCACCACTTCGTATCCTCTTAATTTCTAAGGCCAGAAGGAAATAATTGTTTCTACTATAAACAATGCTATGATCTAAATATTAAAATAGCTAAACTTAAGGTTTATATTAAAATGTTTACTATTAGGTTGGGATCTTAGGGTTTTAATGTAAATTATTTTGTATTTAAAATATACATGTAAATCCCTCACACCAACACAGTAACCACTACCCTAAAGCTATCTAATTTTCTCTTAAAAAAAAATTCAGAATCTTATCTGAGGACCAATTTTTTCCTCATGAAACCACTTCAAATTTATTTGATAGGGATAATTTGGAAACAAAATATTTAACTCATGATAGTTCACATTTGTAAAAGGTACTGTTTTTGAAGCTCCTTTACACAAATTTTTTTTATGAAAAAAATTTCATGACCCAGGAAAGTGCTTACAGAAAAAGGCAAGATAAAGACTGTAAAATAATCAAGAACACTTAGAAAAGGAAGACTACCATGTCTTCCTGGGTAATGGAATAAAAACAATAGTTTCTTCATATTCCTATTTTTAGTATTTCATCAGACAAAAATCTCTTAAAAGAAAAGTTGTTTTTTGAACATGGCATTCAGATTTAGTATAGTGTCTTGGAGGCATGCCTCTTCTGTCTCAGTGTTCCTCCCTGCCCTTCTCAACAGTGTCAGGAGCCTGACAGAAAGACCTTTTCTTTTTAGATTTATGTTTGAATTTTTATCTTCCCCCATTTTGACAGAAGTTACCAAACAGACATTTTTGGGAAGGGAGGTTATGGGAGACACTGACAGCTATCTGCATTTTAAAATTTATTTCATCATAAGCCCAAGACCTTTCAGAAAACATTTGTGGTATCCCTGGGACGCACGAAGTGCTTGAAGAGTTACTACATAATAAGCCTTCTATTCACATTAGGGACCGCTGCTGCCAAATTACTACAGTAACTCTAAGTCTACCATGAAATAGCTTATTCTATACTCCTAGTTGCAGGTGTTTTGGATTTTCTTTACTGTCATTTGTATGGTAATTTTGGTGGTAAAATAAACGTGGTCTTTCCTAGGTGAAAGGGACTTGGATTCCAACTGTGCAACAAAGCCATTCCCAGGCAAAGGAAGTTACAGACAATCTTGATCTACTCGCCTTTTCTCCTGGTAACAATGACTGGCAGAGCCTTATGATAAACCAACTAACTGAAATCGAAAAGTTACTAAGCTTAGAAAATGACAACCAGGTCAAAAAAAGAAAAGCAGAAGAGATGCTAGAAAAACTAGGTGACTAAATGTTGGTACATCTTTAAGTAGTGAAACTGATGTACTCGGGTGAAAGACCATTCATCTAAGCTTCACAGCTAGCTGATTCACTTCACCTTTTCCTAGTATGATGAAAACCCCCATCTGTATTTGCATAGCCTGCAATTAGCATCCAGGCCCCTTTATCCTTTATCTTCCCTTGGTGTATTTCCTTCAAACACTGTTTGTTAGTTCCTATCTTTACAGAACTCAAGTATGATTAAGCAAACTGACCTTTTTAATATTACTCTGTTTTCTAGTGTTTATGATATTCCTTAAAACTTAAAAATAAATGGCCACACTAGTCAATTTTAGTTGATAATGTTTTTTACTATGACTTAGAACTTTTTTTCCTCAAAGAAAGAACAAAATTATTTGTATAAAAATTCAGGTATCTGAAAGACTCAAAAGGCTATTTTTCACTTTGTTCAAGTTTAGTTTCCAGGCATTTAGAGTGTCGTACAGCTGCTGCCACTGCTGTTTTCCAAATGTCCGATGTGTGCTGTGACTAAAAATTAAGAACAAAATATTAGTCAACCTTTTAATTGTTGAGTATTCTTTCAAAATGTTACACAGTTGAATCTTCCTCAAATCAAATTTAAATATCACTTTAGAGTTAAAGGAGAATTTAGCATTAGGTTATTTATTTTTAGAAACTCTTTTACCAGACTGATTTCTTTAACAACTATAAAGCAGACACAAAGTCATTAGTATTCTAGCCAGTGCTTAGCCATTAAATGAAATGTGCTGGAAAATAGGACTCTTTCATTAAATAAGCTAATCACATTCGGTCTGAACCTTAATAAAATTATGATAAACAGCCACTGTTTAACTACAGCCAACTGGTAAGGACACTTCCTTGGTTCTCTTAAACATTTAAGTGAAATAATCAGAACAAATTAAATTGTACTACAGGAGGAAGCAAAGTATTACAGTTCTTACCTGACAACTACTTTTCTCTGGGTCTGATCAATTTTGCAGTAGACCATTTTAGTTCTTACAGCTGAAAGAGATTTTTACATGTTGGTAATACAAACTCAATTGCTATGGAAAAATAGCTAAGGTATGACCAATTGGTGAGAATAAAACTCTGTATTTGTAGATAACATTATTTTAAAAGATCAGCTCTTTGAACCTAACACAGAAAATGTAACCAGGAGGAAGGTTATATGGTATCTGATAAATGCTGAAGCAAATACAGTGTTATAATGTTTTCACTGGGCACTCTAGTTCAAAAGGCAGGCACAGTGGCTCACAGACCTTGGGAGGCTGAGACAGGAGAGCTAGCTGTCTTGAGTTTAATTCCAGCTTGGGCCACATTTTTGACCCTGTCAAAACAAAGAATTCTATTCTTTAGCCTTCAAATAAGGTATTACTTCTTTAGACGACTACTGGAAACTTAAGATTATTAGAAACCAAGCCAACAGTTGTATACATTTTACTAACAATACAATCTTTCCAATTTTCATAACTAAAAAGTTTGGAAAAATATTCCTGGTTAACAGTTATATCATTCTATTGCATTAATGTTTTTATGATCACAAATAACGTACACATTTCTGTCCTACAGGAAGGCGTAGGCTAAAATTTCTGTTGTTTTAAGACAGTCTTGTATATACTCCTGGTTGACTTGTGGTAGTCTTCTGCCTCAACCTTCAAAGTGTTAGGATTATAAGTATGCATCAGCACCCCCAAGGAGACATCCCTGCTTCTAACCACTGCAGGTAGCATACTGTGAGATTTTGGAAAACAGGACAAAAGCCTAAAGCCACAGATTTTATATATTCAATGACTTTTCATTCTACAAATAAATGTGTTACCTGCTAAACAAACATATCTACCAAACAAACCAGCATTGTTAGAATAATGCTTATCTTCAAGATAAAAATCTTAGGAACCATATCTAGATATTCTAGAAAGCAGTAAGAATGTTCTATTGTGCCGGGCGTTGGTGGTGCACAACTTTAATCCCAACACTCAGGAGGCAGAGGCACATCTCTGTGAGTTCGAGGCCAGCCTGGTCTACCAAGCAAGTTCCAGGACAGGCTCCAAAACAATACAGAGAAACCCTGTCTCAAAAAAAAAACAAAAAAACCCTTTCAGAAAAAAAAAAAAAAAAAAAAAAAAAGAAAGAAAGAAAGAAAAAGAATGTTCTATTGCCTTACCATCAATAACAAATGCTTCAACATCATCAGCTCCAATCTGTAGCTCTTGTTGCATTGTATCAAAAGAAATCTCTTTATTTTCCACTGCCATTCCCATGAAAGTGAGGAGTCTCATTTTTGCCATATTTTGTTCATGTAACAGGCCTGAATAACAGAACAATGAACCTCGTTGAGTGACCACACAAAGGTTTGCACAATCATCCTTATGATGTAGTTGTCACTATGTGTGAGCACTTACATAGAACAAACCTGACAAGTTATATTTGGCATTAGAGCACTGATTTTTTTTTTTTATAAACTATATTATCTTATAGTAATGAGAAATAGAATACAGGTGATTAGGTCTAAAGTTAAGTATGGGCTACAAATACTTTTTTTAGCCTCTAAAGGTTTTGTTTATTTTTATAATGTTTTAGATGAAAAATATATAGCATATTTCATAATCAAATTACCTAAAGCTTATGTTCACCAAGAGCTCTTCATTTAAATAGGTTCTGTGTCACTAGTACTAGAAAATAAGTAAAGAATCCTGTTATTTAAAGTGAGGAGCTCTTGATGAACATGTTTTGTATTTTTGATGGTGTAGTGCTTGCCTAACAACAATAAGGCACCGAGTTTGGTTCCGAGTGCTTCACACACACATACACGTCTTAAACTTCTAACTTATATTTCCCTATTTCCCTCCTTCCTTCCTTCTCTCCTTCCTTCCTTCCTTCCTTCTTTCCAGACAGAGTTTCTCTTTGTAGCCCTGGCTGTCCTCGAACTCAGAGGTCTGCCTACCTCTGCCTCCTGAGTGCTGAGATTTAAAGATGTACACCACCATGCCTATCTCTTTTTTTTCCCCTCAGTTTTTTGAGACAGGGTTTCTCTGTGTAGCTTTGGAGCCTATCCTTTGGTCTCGCTCTGGAGACCAGGCTGGTATCTCTTTTTTTTCCCCTCAGTTTTTTGAGACAGGGTTTCTCTGTGTAGCTTTGGAGCCTATCCTTTGGTCTCGCTCTGGAGACCAGGCTGGCCTCGAACTCACCTGGCTCTGCCTCCCAAGTGCTGGGATTAAAGGTGTGTGCCACCAACGCCTGCCTCCATGCCTATCTTATTAGGTTATATTTTCATATGCCATTTCCCTTCTGGTCCCTCTGGATTTAGTATTTGCAAAACAGGACTGTCAAAGTTTGTTTATCATCGAATGGTAGACTTTGGGGAGCCCCTTTTGAGGGCCTTACCCTGCCTGGGGAGTGGAGGGGGGATGGCTAGGGGTAGGGGGGTTGTTGGGGGGGGGGGGGGGGGGGGGGGGGGGTTGGGTGGGGGGGGGGGGGAGAGGGAGTAGGGATTGACATGTGAAACATGGTTGTTCCTAATTTGAACTAATAAAAGAATAAAAATAAAAATTAAAAAAAAAGTTTATCATCTAACATTTACAGGCCTATATACTCTGTATTAAAATTGTACTGTTAGCAGATTTGCATGTTTGTTAAGGCCAAAGAATAAAATTGTACAAATCATTTAGTATTTATACTATAATCTCTAATGATACACACTTATTATTCAGATCACAAATTGTTAGAAGTAGAAATAAACATAATAAATTATCTTATCCTTTTTCTTAAAAAAAAGAAATCAAACCAAAAGAGATCAAGTAATTAACAGTTACAAAGTAGAAATTGTAGGCAGAGAATTTAAGCCCATTTATAAAACAGTGTAAAAACACAAAATCATCTACAAATTCTAAAGCTCTTGGGATCTCCCCCGCCTCCCTTTTGAGACAAGATCTCTCTACACAGCCCTGTCTTGGAACTCACTATGAAGAGCAGGCTGGCCTTGAACTCGGAGATCTGCCTGACTCCGCCTCCCAAGTGCTAGGAATAAAGGTGTGCACCACCACACCTAGATAGTTCTTTGAATCTTTAACCTGGTCCTAAGCAGAACTCTAGCAGAGTGTTAGGTACTTGTTTTGACAGTCTATATTATCAAAACGAGTTTTAAAAATAGACTTATCTCAAGTGTATTGTTAAAAGTTATTTAGGCACCCACAAATAAAATGTCAGTTAAAACATCCATGTATTAGTTGAAGACTAGGGAAGCTCGTTAATACAGGGCATGATCATCTGTTAATTAGATGTAATTGCGATACAGGCTTCCGATTTGGCACAGATTCAACAAAAAAACATGATCATCATAACTCAAATGAATGAGGTACACAAGTAAGTATTGCTGAGTTTAATGGTAATCTACAAGCATCAAAAAATTAATTAGTGCACATTAACCCTAATTAACAAATGCAAATAAGATGATGATTAACTTTCTGAAGCAAGAAGGTAGCAACTGGGTAACACCAGATTACATGTGGACATGTTAGGGCAATTTAGGTGACACAAGATAATGATATGATTGGCCCAAGTTGTCAGTGTTAATTAAAAAAAAAAAAAATGTTTTGACAATCTAATACCACCTGTGGAATATAATACTTTTAACTTGATTTTCACTGTAATAAATACCTAATAATACATATAAAACTGCCAACATAAACATGTAATAACATTTCTCCTAAAGTATCTGTTAAATAAAGCCAATTTCTAGTTGAAGATGTCAAAAAAAAAAAAAAAGACAAATTAGGGAATTTGTTTTTTAGTTGGCACAATAAATTAGCAGTTAGGAATTTGTTCCTATCAAAAAATATTAGAAATTTCTTTAAAATCCCTTCACATTCTCAGTTCTACGTGCATAAACACAGGCCTCTGAATATGAAAAAACAATACAGACTTTTCAAATTCTGAAGGTCTGATTAAAAACTGCATGCACAGGAGCCTGTGCTTATGGAAGAGGTTAGTAAAGCTGTGTCTCCCACTATACCTTCTCCACCTTGAGAAAAGGCTCTCACTGAACCTGGATCTGACCATTTTGCAGACTGCCTAGTCTGCAGACCTTGAGATCTGCCTGTCCCCGCATGACCAACACTGGGGTAAGACAGACTGCCTTGCCCAGCTTGATATGGGTACTCAGATCTGACCCCGTTCTCATGCTTGCACACCACGTACCTTTACCCACTGAGATCTCTCTCTAGCTTCTAAAAATACCCTTTAAATAGTTTACTGATGCTCTTGTGCAGGG